GGTGACCTCACGAAAAGAGTATACTGTAAGGGGAGCCCGCATTTTTTCGAATTTTAGATATACGTAAAATTGCATATGTACCGCTTTATAGGAAGAGTAAGCGCGAGTAAAGCAAGAGTTTGGGGTGAATATTTTATAATTTGAATTGGTGTTTATAATTTTTAACGGCCTACTAATTACTGACGGTCATACGAATGATGACAACAGCTTTTTGTTCAAAAATGGGGCATGATTTATGATTGGTGCCATTTTTATTTGTTTGGTGTTGAACAAATTTTATTTTTTACATTTATGACACCCAACACGAATCAACTTTGTTTTCGTGGCTGTCTGATTATTAGAATTTGTACTCGACGAGTTTAGTATATTTCGTATGGATGAATGTACAGAAAATCTTTAAATTTTGAATTTTGTCCCTCCCACCTCCCTTTCATCAATTTTGAAATAAATCTCCAAAACATAAAATTGCAGCCAAAAGTAGATCACTATAATATATGAAAGTGCAGTTTTTGAAGGGTACTAGTACCGGCACGTAAGAAGACCACAGCGGGTGATCTTTCGCCTTCTTACGTGCCGAGTACAGCATCTCCATACAAAAAGTATCCAAGGCATATCGAAAGAATTCTATTCTAATATCAATGCATAATTAGAAATTTGCCAAACCAATGAACGACATGTCAAAATGAGTATCATAAATGGTTAATATTATTTGCAAACTGTTAGGTATATATAACAATTTTCACAAATAATAGACAATCAAAAAGCACACTGCCTACATGAACTAAAAAATAAGTATCGCCACTTATGAGTTTAGCTTCTGCATTACAGGTATTATTTGCCATGAAGTTTATATTTTATACAATTGTAAAATATCTTTTCAATCGCCATGGAAAGAAAGCTATTTTTTTAAGCTTTAAGCCCTACCATAGACTATCCGATCACGTGTCATTCTTTTGTTTCAAATTTAAGCGGGATCTGTGTTTTAATGATGGGATTTCAACGTTTCCACTTTGCCTTAAAATCTGTCATAATATCTTCGAACCTGGGGTGGGTTAATATGCATACATAACCCTATGCGTTTAAAAGGATTTGGTCTCAAACCACAGCCAGTAGAGCGAGGGCTTTCCAAGAATAATAATAATGAACAATCATTTCTAATGCAAAGTAGGTAAATTTGTTTAAAGGTATATCATTTATCACACTGGATGTCATTTTTATTCAAATCAATACAAAGTTATTTAAGTACAGAAAATGAAGAATTATTTCAGTTCACCATGCGATGTACCACAGAGGTCCATTTTGGGAATTACATCGTTTTAATTTATATTACCATCACCGATGACCCAATACCCGCATGAAACAAGTAAGTATATACCTACTTTGTTTGGGACATATCATTGGGTGATCAGACATATTACTTAGAACTAACCTCGATAGTACCTATATGCAAAGGGGACCTTGCGAAGCATATCGATAAAGGGTTTTACGGACATAAAAATCTAAAAAATTATCAATGTGTGACTCAATATTCTTTACTACTAAAGCAAAGGTTATTTCAGTAACATTGGAAATAGCACAAATAGTGCACTATGTGGTTCATACAAAATAATACTACTTACAACCTTTAATTAAATAATTAATTAATTAAAAATTAATGTCATAAAGCCTATTCTTTGAACCCTACATTAGGTATGTTACTACTATTTAAAAATCCTACGTAGATTTCTTTAACCGCATTAAGATACAAAGGTCACATTGGAACAAAATGGCGGAATTGGCTGATTCACGAACTTGGCCGAGATATTTATGAGTTACATATCAACCTTTAGAGGTTGGTCGAAATTGGTTCATAATTACGAAACTCAAAAGTGTTTCTTGGGAGTGATATATATAAACCTATAATAAACATATAAATATACTGGTACTATTGCAATAGGTAGATAGAAATCTACCTAAAACAAGAAAATAAAGATCCAGGGGTCTTGTGAATTACAATTGTACGTTTTAAAAAACAAAACACTCGCCTTTTCTTAAAAAATATGCTTTTTTTCTATTTTTGAAAAGTGATGCTCAGATTGTCCATTTTTTCTAACTTTAAGCTTTCACAGTAACGACTGTACAGCATCACTATGGTTTGTTAACGAAGTTTATACTTAAAAAGTATATTTTCCATAAATATGGACAACAATTTTAAATTTTGAATTTTGTCCCTCCCGCCTCCCTTTCATCAATTTTGAAATAAGTTTCCAAAACGAAATTGTAGTCAAAAGTAGATAGCTTAAGCAAAGTATACACATATAATCAAAATCACTATAGGGCATTATTACAACGTCATACATAAGCCGACTCACTAGGTCAAAGAAGCAGCCAATCTATTGTTTTCAAAATGGTTATCCTATACACGCTAATAATAATCAAGCAAAACACACTAATTGCATAGATAAATAAAAAAATATTCTCTGCTTATGAATTCACCTTCTGTACCTACGCGAAACATTATTTGTCATGTAGTTTTTATTTGATCCCAATTATTCCTGTGGTAGAATTAACAACTTTTATTTGTCCTTCAAACAGCATCGCTTCAAGCTAATGAGTGTAACATCCTAAAATCCCTAGGTACAGCTTCTTGATGCAGAATCAGTAATATTAAAATAAGGCACAGTCCGGTGTAGGCGCGAATTTAAACTGATTTAGTGAGTTAATGCGAGTTAGGGGAATTTTTTCCCAAGTTAGATTTAGATATTAAATGTCTTAGGGTACCTAAATAGCTTTGTGAAATAGATTCATGTAAGATGTAAAGGGTAGAATATTGTCCTTGTCAGTTTCGTGTTAAGAAAAAGTTTTGGGTGATATTGTATATGTGTAAAGGGTCATGTGTACCGCTTCATATGAAGAGTGAGCGCGAGTAGGTTTAACGACGAGACAACGAAGCGCGTTTCGAATGCGTGAGTTTTGAGCAGAGATAGCATGAACCATCCAGTTTAGTTGATTCCCTTTTATGTAGCGCTGCGGCCACAGATTGGATAAGAATTGGGCTTGCGATTGGTGAAAAGGGGACGCTGGTCGCGAAAATTGCGGTGGTTCCGTTTTAGATTAGCAGCTACAGCTTAAGCAGGTAGTTCGAGCATCACTCTCCTTACAGTAAGGACTTTTGCGGAAATTTTAATTGCGAAAGGATCGAACTAAACTTTTTAAAGAAAGTAAATGTTAGTGAAATCATTGCGGCAGATTAAGTGAAGAGAACATTTTAAGAAAATTAATCTCAAGCGGATAGCTCCAACCTCAAAGACGCTTAGGGGTGTTGTGTGTGTATTAATCAAAATTAGAATTTCAACCGGTACTATACATTTTTTGTGACTAGATGAAAGACGGGGTTCCTAAATAAAATTCAGGCGTCAAAGAAAACTACGTTCATTACAGTAGCAGATTTTCTAATTCGCATTTTGTAATTCGTAACCTCGTACTAGCTTCATGTGAGTGGTTTTCTCTTGCAGTTTTGAGCAACACAAAATTAATTTCCTTTACAATTACGCTAACTAAACATAGAAAAGCTATACTCGCACGAAATAAAATATTTTACGCGTGCATTACGTAATCTAAGCGGCACTAATTAATCCATTAACAACAAAGACACACCTTCACATCAGGAAACCGTATAAATCCGCTAAGGAAATCTGGTCAGAACGCAAGACAACTCTATTTACATATTTCGGACCATTGTTGATTCCTGTCAACTTCATATACCACGAATACGACCTTCGACGGCGACGTAGGGAAATCTTGAATCAAGACAATTTCTATGAGGATCGAAGCAACGTCAATAGAAGACGAATAGAGGTATTGTAAAAATTTCGTTACTCTGGTTTTTCAATCGTAATGATTTCAATTTACCTACTGTTCAATAACTCATTTTGTATCTATTAATTTAAGTAGTTTAAATTTTAAAGAAAAGCTCCGTTTTCAATTAGTCAACAAGATTTCGATTTATTGCATATTTTTGGGAAACTTTAACTTTGAGTTAGCCAGGTTTTTTCCTATGTTAAGGGACGTCCAGTGCACGAGTGTTTTAATTTAACAGGGTCACATTCGGATGCCCTCTTCTTGGTGACCTCTTTGTACATATTAAATCACGATATAATTAAATTCACGACAAGTTTTTATGTAAACATATTATGAAATCTGTCAACCAGAAGATGACTAGGAGGTAGTGCAAAAATGATGACTATCAGCACGAGTTGAGAAAGTGCAAAGTAGAACAAGTAGGTAACTATATTATTACTAAGCATATCAAGACTACCAGACATGTACAGCCGTCTCTATTTAATGCAACACAAAACATTACCTGTTAGTAGTTTTTAAAAACAAGAAAATTAAGATCTACGTAGTCATGCGTGCGGATATAGCACAAAAGACGTCCAGTTTCTATTTCGAAATTCATGATAATCTTTAGGGTTAGTTTGCCTTTAGTAGATGTATGTTGAATAAATTAATGCCTACTTTTGAGACTTAATGTTCGTAATGTTTTTCAGTAGTTGCGAGATAGTACACTTTCTAAATTTTGAATTTTGTCCCTCCCACCTCCCTTTCATCAATTTTGAAATACGTTTCCAAAACATAAAATTGTAGCCAAATTTATGTACACTAGGTAAATTTATTATAAGCAATTTTTCAAAAGTATCAAGACAAGAAATATGATCGATATTCACTGAAGCGAACAAGTAAGAGATACATGATACAATCCATTGTAAGTTCAAAAGCACCACATTCCACATTCATTAAATATAAGAAAATTAACATTTTACAATTCCATACAGAACTTGATACCAAACCTGTCAAGCGAATGTGAAAGCAGCAGAACATAATGGTGTTACCAAACCTATTTTAATACCTAGGTACACATTGCAATTATCACACAACTAAGCAAGCAATACATTACTTAATTAAATCAATTTCACACCATGTAAGTAGTTTTAATTGCATTTGTTTTATAATTTACCACTGTAGGTATTTACTAGTGCTCGAAGAAAGAGAAGCTATACTTTTCAGGGTAACGGACCCATGCTATTTCTTATTTAGTGGTTATTCGGTGAATATTCAATATGGTAAAAAGTACAAATAATAGTCGTATAGGTCTTACAGTTACTAAGCAAGCAAACAGTTTGAACCATAAGCCCACATCAAGTCAGTTTGTAGAACAAGCAGTCTAATTAATAAGTGTAGGTAATAGCAACCTTATACACAGTGATCAGTGCAGTTATTGCTACCTTGGAACATAGAAATTTCATGCACAGATAATGGTAGTAACATCGCGCATCAGTTAGTGGGAGCTGTGACAAATGAGTAGGTATTTTGGGAGCTGAAAAACAAAGTTTCCATCTCCAGCAGCATGTTCTCCCACGAAGAACCGCGTCCAAGCTCAAGATAAGTCTCCTTTCCTGCGAGAGGGCATCATTCATCATAATCATAAAAAGCTGGTGGCGCACGAGTTGGATCACGTCTGGCTATATTCACGGAAAATTTTTCATCACCCGCCACCCCAGGCGAAAAAGAATTCAGTATTTTTTGTACTAGGTATATCAATTGTTCATATTTGTTTGTTTCAACGATTCTTGACAATTATTACTTCTTATTGAGAACTTTTTCTAGTTCATTTGACGTTGATTTAATTACTTATATTTCAAGCACCCCGTATATATATAATTATTTTTTGTCTTAGATTAAGTGTCTTTAAGCGAAGGCTTTGGCGATCTAGACGAAACTCTTGCAATGACGGCCGCAAGCAGCATGCTAAAAATTAGAAATCCACCGTAGACTGGTGAAGAAGATAGACGCAATTACGGATCAAGCGTATAAAATCGCAAATTGGGCAAGCGAATACCAAAGTGATTATATTAGTATGCATCTGCAAATAGATACCAACCGACGGAACATGTTAATCGACCATTTTTGCATTACATGTAACATTGCACAATACAAACTGAATGTATGTGAGAGAATTAACCGCATCGAACTTAGCTTGTTGCATGAGGTGTGAGTAAGCCCAATCAAGAACCAGCAAATATTTAGGGATTTCAAGCACCTGCTGCTAATCCTAGACAATAATAAACGAATGTTTTTAATTGCTAATTGCATTTGCTTTGCTCAATGCGTAAGAACATACTGTGTATATGCATAGTGTAGCGAATATTCTAGATATCCAGACTTCGGGTCGCCACCTAGCGCCCATCAAGATAAGTTACCAGCGATACGAAACGGAAGCGGACATACATAATTCGTTCGCTATTAAGCAAATTGAATCGTGTTTAAGTTAAGTTCCAACATCGATGCCGCAGTGATAATACTGACATTCGCGCTCTATAAGTGAGGGTATAGGTATAACACCTGTTATAAATCAATCTATTGAAGGACAGTTATAAATTCATTAATAATTAATTGTACATAAACAAATAACGTAGGTAATTTAAATTATGTTACAATAGTTTGTTTCAAAATATAAAAGCTTTATGCGGTTACTAATAATTGCCACGTAAATAATACAACTAACGCGTGTTGCGTTCAAATAAAGGGCATATTCAAATAAGTAGATATTAGTATTCAATATAATAATAAACTGTTCACGTTAAGCGAGTCATATTCTTTTAGGACAGTTAGATACAAACGTTTGATTTGCATTAAATATGGTATATTTTTACTGCTTTAGTTATTGAATAAAGCATCCCCCATACAAACTTAAATCGCTACAAACAAGCACACAAACCTCTAGCTCTAGATTATAACCAACAAACTTCAATTTTCGGAATTGGGCATCAAAGAAAGACATGCTTAAAACTACCAATACAATACCAATACAGCATGCAGTTTACATAATTTTCAAGTGCGCGAAGAAGCACAGTTGAGCAAATACATAAACAGTGTTATGGGTATTTAAACAATGTCAAGAGAGAACGAAGATTCAATGTTATTCCATTAATTGGAATTCCTATAAATTGTAAAATAAATCAAAACGTCGCACAATGGTTCTAAATCCCGAAAAACGAGACAAAAGTAAAAAAAGAAAGTTTTTTATGGTGATTTTTAAGTTAATTCGCGATTCAGATTAACAGTGAGACCTCTGGTGGCAGCACGTTGTAATTAATATTGGTGGGATAAAACCCGCATTTGGTTTATTTACAATGGACAATAGTAATCAATATTGTCGTGTTTACGGCTGTACAAGTAAATACACCTTAAAGAGCAAGAATAGTTTAGATAAGAAATCGTCGTCAAACGCATATTTCCAAAGTCTTTAATTGTAAACAGTGCAATTAAATTATACAACCAACAATAATAATAAGTTAAAGAATCATAATCTAGCGCGTAACATTTCCAAAATCTTTAATTGTGAACAGTGCAATTCCACAAGAAAAAATAGGTGATATTATATCATTCTTCGACACACTCCGTTTTTAATAACTTTCTATCACTGTTATCACGGTAAGCGTTCGTTACGATCAGTTCTATTAATTATAAGGGGGGCATTGTATTGTTTTCCTGCCTTTAACTTTCCCGCAGATTCCGCTAACTAATATACGCCTGGTTGCTTATATTTCCGACAGGGAATTGTATGATTTGCCGAGTGTTTAATTTCCCTTTTAAATTTCCCAGCTGTGCCCGTAACAGCCCTGGAGTCTGTTTCCTCCAAGCGAGTCGAACTGTGGCTACCGAGTTTTGTTGGAAAACTTCGAAACCGTTCCTACCACTGATCCTGACCAAAGGGTGGGCCGCAATATTAGATCCGCCATTTTGCTTTTTTGAAAATGTAACGTCAGCTTCTTAATTAGTGCGCTCAAAAACTCTGTACCGACTTTCATGTAAAAACAACAAATTTTTGGCCGTCATATTGAATCCACCATTCGGTTTTTTTGAAATCTCATATCAGATACTTAAGAAACGCATTTAAAAACCCTGATATATATTCTTGGAAAAGTCGAACGATACCATCATATTTTGGTCAGCTTTTCGGGATTCGGAATCCCTCCATGTCATCGCACCGCGCCGTTGCAAATGACGCCTGAATTGAAAAGGCTAGCGTGAACGATTAATCATATTAAAACGCGAAGACTCACAATAATCATTAATAATAAATAAAATAAAATAATGGAATATAATTAAATAATTTTACATTGTCTGATTTTTTGCGTACTCAGAGGAGCAACTTGATGCGTAGATAGACGTTGTGATACCATTTTTGAGTGTGTCGTTTTTTCATTTGTGTACAATGTAATGATTAATTCTTTCAATTTCCCGTACACTATAATTAAGTCTACCTTCTAATTACATTAATAATAATAATAACTTTATTGTCTGTGATCACGCATAACCTTGACATAGACATCGTCATACATTCAAACATTTATGGACATTTAAAATTTTAAAAAGTCAATTAGGAACAGTGTAAATGCTAAAGGACATGTTACAATTAAAAATCACTCATTGAATAAAAACAACGTTCGACTAAGTATTTTTTTAGATTCGTTCGATACTTCTTAATGTTTGTGATGTTTTTAATATATAAAGGGAGTGCATTGTACATTTTAACTGCATTGTAATATGGACCCCTTTCATACTTCGCTGTGGAATGGTAGGGTATGGTAAGTATCTCATTGTTGCGTGTATGATAGTCATGCTTAGCATTTAATGGATGAAAAATATGACTATTCATTTTCACGAAGATGCAAAGCTTATATATGTAAATGCTAGGAAATGATAAAATTTTCCTATTGATGAAAACATTCCTAAGAGAAATTGTCGGTTTTACATTAAAAATTAATCGCATTATCCTTTTTTGTAGGATGAAGACTCTGTTTTTGTCGACAGCTGCCCCCCAGGCAACAACGTTGTATGCTAAATGAGGATATGCGAGCGCGTAATACACAGTAACTAATGAATTTATGTCAAGACATGATTTCAAGTTTCGTAACACATAATAAGCCCTGTTAAGTTTTTTACACACATTCTTAATATGTTGGTCCCATGACAAATCGTCATCTATCAAAATCCCTAAAAACTTAGTATTTAGACTAACACTTGAAGTTTCGAGCTCTTGCTTAGCCCTACCAAAGTTCACACACACAGTTTTATTTGCATTTAATACAAGTTTGTTAGCACTACACCAGGAATGAAATTCCTCGTCCACATGTTTAATAGTACTTGTTAAACACTCTAGGGTCTTCGCTGATATAACGATGGTTGTGTCGTCGGCATAGCTGATCACCTTCGCACTTGTCACATGATTTGGCAAATCTGCTACGTACAATAAATATAATAGCGGGCCCAACACTGAACCCTGAGCGACCCCTAAGGTAACATCAAATTTGTCGGATTTAACACCTTCGATGTCCACATATAGTTGCCTATTTGAAAGGAACGATTTTATCCACAGCAGTTTATGGCAGATATTCTCGCAATTAATCGTATCGAAAGCTCGACTGATATAAAAAAATAGGACAGAGATATACTTTTTTTGTCGAGTTCTTCATAGATGAAAGTAAGTAGATCGAAGGTAGCGCTTTCTGTAGATTTCCCAGGTCGGAAACCATGCTGGCTGGCCGGTAAGATGCTAAATTTGTTGACGAATGAGATTAATCGGTTATAAACGATTTTTTCCAACAATTTCGAAAAGACGCTCAACAATGAGATAGGGCGATAGTTTTCTATTCTTGTAGGGTCTTCTGACTTGAATACAGCTATTACGCGCGCAGTCTTTAATGCACTAGGAAAAATCCCACGAGCAAGAGATTCATTATATAGCATAGTTATGATCGGTAGAATAGAAGTCAAGACATGATCCAGTACCTTCACTGTTATTTTTTTAACTTGTGGTTTACACAATTTTTAAACTCAACTTAATTTGTTTAGGTTATATAATAAAGGGGTTTAAAAAAACAAGGAAAACAGAATTACGTCGAAATGCGAAATTTTATTCCTTTATATCTTTAACCTTTTTTATACTGATAGCTATACTACACAACATTAAAGTAAATTTCTTGTTGGGACCGTAATAATATTTCTCATTCGCCCTGTTTTGTAACGAGCGTCCGTATGTGCAGAAAATTGTAGTTTGGTAAAAATGCATAATCTAAATATAGATACTCAACCATAATCATGTGAATGCTTGTTTAAGCATTGTAAGAAAATCAATGATTTCGTTTATTCATAACACAAGTTTGTTGTGTTTTAATTAACCGCTAAAAGGGAATTAGAAATATAACCTAATAATTGCGATTAGGAAATGTAATTTTAATTCAGATGTAAATAAAGTAAATAAATATTTTGGGATGAGATAAATGAAGCGGGTCATTGTGATTAAACTAAGAGCAAGAGCAGCGAATTAAGTTTGTCGTAACGGAATGTTGAAGAAAAAAAAGCGGAGTTACATCATTAATCGTATTAAGAGGAAGCGCTTATTGGGTGAGAATTTGCAAAGGCGATATCTATAAATATCAGTGTAAATTGTGACACAGCAGTATTCGTTAAACGGCGTTACATAGTGCCAAATCTTCGGCGGTCGTTTTCGCAAAGCACGCCCTGCAATCTTAAGTTAAACGTGCTCCTATGCTGTAATCGTAATATGTACTAATGATGCTTCTCTCATTTACTTTATTACAAAATAGATCTAGATTTACATCGACACCCTAAAAAGCTTATACTTGTAATATTAATTTTGTGAAATTCTAGTATTTCTTTTTATTTATATTATCAACCTTTTTAATGCTTCCTATTCTTAAAATATTCACAATTAATAATCGCGCAATTATGGCGGATACGCAAAGTCAGTTTAGATAGGCTGGTTTCCCTATTTCAAAGGTATTTTAATCCAAAACACAATCTAACGCTTTTAAAAAATCATATTAGGTATAGTATGATATTCCACAACATTAGAAAACATCCATGCTAAACATACACCGAGTTCAAGTAATAACTAGATTAGACGTGACTAATACAAACAAAGAAACATATATGTATATCGAGCACAACGTCCATGCAAAGTTAGTAGGTGTTTTGAAAACTAGTGCATGTATGTGTAAGTAGTTAACCATCGGCTTGAGAAAAAGTAAAGTACAAAAATAATCTTGTCATAGAAAAGTTTATGTGAGAGTTCGTCCACAAGTAACACTAGTAACAAAAGAATGAAAGCGCTTTGAGAAACACCATGACGTCTCCATGGTTTTGGTTATTTATATATTTTGCACTATAACAAGGTTCTACTCACAATTATTAAGCGAGATAAACAAAAAGCGAAAGGCGAGCGAAAAACGATTTAGTACCTACTGATTTATTTACCACGTATTGTTTATAGTTTCATAGTTCCTTGAGTCGTAGTTCAGTAAACATTCTTATGGATATCTATTGCCTTTGATAAATCACATTTCAATTTTTGTACATAAAAATTAATATTTGATGTATCGTTGCAAAGGTATCTTTAGAATGGAATGTAAGGTAAAGCGTGTAAGTACGCGAAAGTGGTGCGCGAAGACTAGATTAGCATTCGTCGCCTCGCGAAGCGAAACGCGCTAGATTTGCCATGGAATGTAACGGACTCCCATTTTTCCATTTCAAATTGAATTGTAATTAATTGCTTCTTACTGAAAAATTTGTCTAATGTATAGGTTTTTAGAGTGTAGCGGAAATAGCGTTAATTATACAGTGTAGTTTATTTCTAGCAAGTGTGGAATGCTTACGCCGAAGTGCACGGTCAAGAAACATGGGCATTCGTAGTCGTAAGCCTGCTGCTTGCGATTTAAACCACGAATTGAAATAAGTTAGAGAAATTAACAAATTAATGCATATTTTCTTAAGCGCAGGTCGTCCATTTCGGCCAAGTTAATAAGTAATTGTGAATACCTAAAAGTGTCCATTTAAAAGT